TTTCAGCTGTGTCTTTGTCGTGTCGATCAAAGTTGCATCAGAAACAAATTGGAGACAGTTCACTACACAACGTTGCGATGTTTGGGTCTGTACTACATAGGTACCACGTTGCATAAGAAACATGTCGTGCGCTGCAGCTGCGCAACATTTAAATTACGCTGCCTAGCAAACGTTGTACCTTCAACCTTTTTCTGACTTTTAGCACACGGTTTCTTAGGCAGCATGGAATTCGAAACAGTAGCCTATCGCTGTGACTTTGTCGTGCCGATCAATGTTGCGCCAGAAACAGATCGGAAACAGTTCACTACACAACGTTGCTATTTTCACGTCTGTAGTACACTGATACCACGTTGCTTAAGCAGCATGTCGCCTGCTGCTGTTGCGCAGCATTTAAATTATGCCGCCTAGCAAACGTTGTACCTTCAACATTTTCCCGACTTTTAGCGCACGGTTTCCTAGGCAGCATGGAATTCGAAACAGTAGCCTAACGCCGAGCCTTTGTTGTGCCGGCCAATTTTGCTTCAGAAACAGATTGGAAACAGTTCACTACACAACGCTGCGATGTTTGCGTCTGTACTACAGTAATACCACGTTGTATAAGAAACATGTCGCGCGCTGCAGGTGCGCAACATTTAGATTATGCCGCCTAGCAGACGTTGTACCTTCAACCTTTTTCTGACTTTTAGCACACGGTTTCTTAGGCAGCATGGAATTCGAAACAGTAGCCTATCGCTGTGACTTTGTCGTGCCGATCGATGTTGCGCCAGAAACAGATTGGAAACAGTTCACTACACAACGTTGCGATTTTCACGTCTGTACTACATAAGTACCACGTTGCTTAAGCAACATGTCGCGCGCTGCAGTTGCGCAACATTTAAATTATGTCGTCTAGCAAACGTTGTACCTCCAACCATTTTCCCACTTTTAGCACACTTTTAGCACTCGTCTGTTGGTGCTGATGAAATTAATTTCAAAATCCTTACAAACACCAAAACGTTTTCCTCTATAATTCGTGCAAAGCTCTTTCAGCACCCTTTAGATGTTCCATGTTTACCTGATGATTGGAAAGTGGAGATGGTTGTGCCTGCATATATGTGCGGGCCTAAGCATTCACCTAATACACTCTGTACAATATTTCTAACCAGCGTTGCCTGCAAAACTTTACAGCATATTATTCACTGTAATCTTGCCAACGTCCTTGACTCAAACTCCTTTTTAACCCGTATCAGCACGGCTTTCGGAAATTATTCTCTTGCGAAACCCAAGTTTTATCTTTCACTCATAATCTGCACGCCATTCTGGACCATGCATCAGAGGCGGACTGCGTATTTCTTGGTTTTTCTAAAGCTTCCGATAAAGTTAGTCATCAATTACTGCTTTCATAGCTAAGTTAACCTAATATCGACTGAAACTTACTTAATAGAATTGAGTGCTTTTTGCATCATCACAATTTATTACAGTCAATGGCTCTAATTTCTCTTTAACCTTCTTTAACTCAAGAGTCTCTCAAGGTTCAGTTCTAGGCTGTTACTCTTTCTCACATATATTAAAGATCTGCCAACCTGCATCTCTCCTGCTTGATTATCGGCCGATGATTGTGTAGTTTACCGAGAAATATGAACCAAAAATTACTTCAGCTTTTCGCAGTCTGATCTAATCTCACTAGCTAACTTGTGCCGCACTTGGCTGTTGGAAATAAGCATCCCCAAGTGCAAATCAGTGTCCGCATCCCGTCGTAACAAAGTTTCGCCTATTTGCTGTTTTAAGATCATGCAATTAGAATCCGTGTAAGTGTATAAATACCTTGGTCTTCATATAACTCCTAAGCTGTCCTTGCGCATTTATACAGTGCACATAATTAACGATGCTAACCGGATGCTCAGCTTCCTAAGGAGAAAACGTGGTTCTGTTCCATTATCTCTTAAGCTCTGTCTCTATATGTCACTCGTTTGATCGAACCTTGAGTACACAGCCTCTGTCTGGGACCCAGGCATGAAGCACCGATTTCACTTTCATACCATAGTTGTAAACTTCTGGATGAACACACGCGGGATTGAAACATACGGATGCACTCATTGTAGACTTTGCAAAGTTATCGAAAAGTTGACCCATGCTTTTATTTTTTCGTGTTGACGCTGTATTCCTTTCGGATTTTTTTTCAAATGGACGCTGAAAAAAGATTGAAGTGGAAGAGACAAACCTTCGCTACATGCATTTCGCAGAACACCTCGATACCATTCAAGACGTTTTAGTAGTTCAAGGTCTTTGAAGTTTATGGAAAACGCGTAAAGTGAATATTGAAGCAGTTTTCACACATAAATCCTGGGTAAATTAATATATATATATATATATATATATATATATATATATATATGATGCTTTTGAAGTAGGTTCAAACATAAGAGGCCCGCTGTGATGAAAATGATGAATGGAAATACGTCGTAAAAATATCAGTTGTTTCCCTGTTATAATTTAATCCACGATAGCACCAGTCGATTTAGAAAGTTTACTTGAGACCTTCTTTTTTGTGATGACTCTTATGCTTTTGTACATGTCCAATATACCGTTGTTTTTATTCTTACAGATTTGTTAAAAAAAAAACATGAAAGCTACACTTGTGCGGTTTGTGCCAGGAAGTTATACGCCCGGGGGGACAATATGGGGGTAGTTAATTTTTGCGATCAGTCGGATAATTAATTAAAACTCGTTAATTAAATTTTAATTCTTGAAAAGAGTCATATTGTTTCCATTAGAAATTTGCTGAGCGTCTTCCGAAACCCCTAAATCAGTTATTTCTGGAAAGACTTTGAGCGCGTGAGAAGAGCAGTAGTGCGCTAAAGTTACCACTCGCGGAGCTGGTACAAGGCTGGGGCTAGAGAAGAGACGGGAACATTGAGCGGGCGCTTTAACGCAACCGCTAGCCTTGTACCTGCTCCACGAGTGGTAACTTTAGTGCACTACTACGCTTCTCACGCACTGATATTCTTTCTGAAAATGACTGATTTAGTAGTTTTCGATATCGCTCAACAAGTTCCTAGTTGAAACAATATGTCTATCTTCATTCATTAAAAAGTTAATTAAGAAATCTTAATTAATTAGCCATCTTATCCCAAAGATTAACCACCCACATAATGTCCCTCCGGCGTATAACTCACACGCATAAACCGCATAAATGTAGCTTTCATGGTTTTATTTTAAACAAATCTGTAATAAGAAAAAAAAACTTATAATGTAAAGCGAATGGAACTCACTGCTTGTATGTTATGAAAAATAACGGATTTCGTATCTTTAAACTACATATAATGAATACATAATAATGTGTATAATGTACAATGTATATTATAATGTATATATAGAGCATATATATATATGTATTTAATGTAATACCAAATTCCTTGTACATAAAAAAAAGTGAAAGCCGTTTACAAATCCCTGTAACGCCGAATTGGAGCGCAGCTCTTGAGGAGGAGGAGTGAAGGGTACTGAGGGGAGGGTAGACCCCTCCCCCTTCTCCTCCTCCTCCCCTCATTCTTTAATATGCTCCGGGGGGGGGTGTCACGTGACTTTGGGGAGGGGGTCACGTGACCTCGGGGAGGCGTGACCTGGGTGTGACCTCAAGGCCACGTGACCCCAAAGGTGACCCCCACGTGACCTTGGGGTCACGTGACCTGGAGGGGTCACGTGACCTGGAGGGGTCACGTGACCTCGGGGGTCACGTGACCTCAGAGGGGTCACGTGACCTCAGAGGGGTCACGTGACCTTGAGATGACCTTGGAAGGGGTCACGTGACCTCAGAGGGGTCACGTGACTTGGGGGTCACGTGACCTTCAAAGGGTCACGTGGGGTCATCTTGGGGTCACGTGACCTTGAGATGACCTTGGAAGGGGTCACGTGACCTCGAGGGGTCACGTGACCTTCAGGGGGTCACGTGACCTTGAGATGACCTTGGGAGGGGTCACGTGACCTTGGGGGTCACGTGACCTTGGGATGACCTTGGTTACGCCGACGCCGACGGCGACGGCGACGGCGACGCCGACGGCGACGCCGCTCAAGCCGGGAACGGGCCCCTAAAAGCTGCGCTCTAAAATATAATCTAACGGAAATGTAACGCTCTGCCTGTATATAATGTAAAGCATTACTTGTATACAGTACTGTAAATTATATTATAATTGTAAACGAAAAAAAAAAAGAAATCGCGTAATTTCTTTTTTTTTTTTTTTTTTTTTGTGCTCCGCGTAGCAGCGCGGAGCACGTGGAGTGAAAGCTCGCTCTGCAGAACTTAGGGATCCTAGGTTTAACCCCACCCTCGCCCGTTTTGATCTGGAAGAGCATCGAACCGGCGTGCAGTCGTGCATCACTACTGCCTGGTGCACGTTAAAGACCTCAGGCTAGCGGTTTGTACTGCGCTGGCCAAATTCCTCATTTACACCTGGGAGACAAGTCGCACGTTGAGGCAGACGAGCGTCTAGCTGTATAATCATACAAACACCAAACGTTCCTGTAAATGAAAAAAAAGGGTAAAAGGCACCGGTACGTTTGTCTACAAAAAATGTAGACAAACGTACCGGTGCCTGTGCCTTGTTCAGTATAATGCCTTGCTTGTAAGAACTCGCGCGTAAAACTGGCACTTTAAAAAGCAACGCTGTCGCCCTGAGCACTGACGGTGTCTGCGACATGGGCTAGTAGAGATTTCACATGGTATGTCAAATTAGCCAGTTTAGAGAATAAATAAATCAAATCAATGCTTATATTGCACTAAAATTTAAAATCTAACAGTCGAAAGCTGAAAGTGAGCAAGCTGGTCTGGAAAAAAAGCCTCATCGAAGTTTCCCATGAGCCTCGCAGTGTGACGCAAGCAGCTCCGTTTGCTTGCATGCGGAACCGTTTTTTGTTTTTGTTTTGTTTTGTTTTTAGGAAAGGTATTACCCATTGCCCTGACCCTGTTGACGTGTGTGTCTTCTGTAATACGATGTGTCCGCCCTTAAGCAGGTCAGACTCACCTCGGCAGCCACATGGCATGCGTCAACGGCAGCGTCGACGCCAGAGTTTCCGATGCCCACGACGGCAACCCTCCTGTCCTTGAACTGGTCCGGGACCTTGAGGCTGTGCGTGTGAACGATCTTGCCCTTGAATTTCTCCTGGCCCTTGAACGTGGGAACGTTAGGGAACCCGTAGTGCCCGGAGGCCACTAACACTGCGTCAAAGGTCTCTCTGCACTCAACGTCACCGTTGAGATCCTTGACGAGTACGTCCCAGCGACCAGTGGAGTCGTAGTCCTCGGCCTGTGTCACACGGAGGACTTCGTGACGCAGGCGCACTTTACCCGTGATGCCGAAATGGTCTGCGTAGTTCCTGATGTACGCCAACATCTTGGTGTGGTGCATGAAGTTGGGAGCCTCTTTGGGAGGGGGAAAGTCGCTGCAGAAATAGAGAACAGTGGACGCTGTCTTGGTATATAGGCCTTTATAAATAGTGACGATAAGATAAGAATAACCGTTAACTACTATGAAAATTCGAGCAATCAATCAAGTACTAGAATAAAAGCAATGCAGAGTGAAAAGAATCCATCATGTTTTCACAGAAAATGGGGTTTGTATGAAAATAGATATAGATTAATTGCATAAATGAACACCTTTAATACAATATTCACATGCCCTATAGCTAAGAGATCCTTATGGTTGGCTGCGAACCAATTGGTGATCCTCCGCGAGTGGCATGTGCTAGCAATCCTGGTGCGCGGGCTGATTAACCGATATCAAAAGGACCTAGGGTACTTTTAAGCTGGCCCATATGAATGGGGAATAACACTAGAATTGTAAACTTATGTGCCAGGAAAGGAAGTTGCCTCAGATACACATGTCATGATGATGCGAATGCCAAGAGATGATCCCTTACGATGAAAATGAGTTGAGCTAGTTGATTATACATATTGGAATGGGGAACCACCTGAACTTACATAAAACACTGTGAGGAGAGGCAAGATATCCGACCAGCGATCGGATGTCTTTTATTTTATCTCTCCTCATATACTTTCTGTAAGTTCAGCTGGTTTCAAAATTTAAAAAAAAAATATCCCTGTTTTATTTTAATTTTTCTTTGTTTTGATGTGTAAAGACTGCAATCTAATATTGTAGGCTTGTTGAAAATTGTCGTTTAGGGCACAAACGTAAGCAGTAAAATTTGGTGCCGGTAAATACCATTTTAAGTAAAACGAGGTGGTATCGTTTCTCCGCTGACAGTGACGAGAACTGTAGATCTAAATTGGTCAGGGAATCTAGGCCGCTTTGTCCCCATTTTGAACTTTGGGCGCAGTTTTCTCATAGAGCCTCCTGGAAAAGGAGCTTTATTAAAATTGAAAAAAAAACACGCGAAAAAAAAAAAAAAGGATCGACAACGTGTGGCTATACGAGAGATGGGACGTAATACCAAACAAAGAATCCAAATGAAGCAGTTTTGCTCGCACCATTAACAATTTTAATTGCTTCGAGGCATTCTTTCTTAAATTATACACGTAATACGCTCATAAGAGTTCTTAAGGTAAATAAAATTAGGAGACGTCGTAGGTTAAACATCTTGGTATGCGAACGCATTCCAACGAAGGCTGTCCGTGTCTGACGTGGTTTTGTGTGTCCTTTGTCTCCTTTTGCGTTCGCATACCAAGATGCTCAAACTAGTGTCGGTGTTTTTCGTCTGATCTACTGAATTCAAATTATGCTAACTGAATATTATTGAAGACAGAAGAACGACAACAATGCAATTTACGGGCCTTCTAACAAAGAAGATATGGTGAACAACCATGATCAAACATCAAATTGGCCTGCGCGTCTTTTTATTGGGTAAAAATAACATAATACGTCAAATGGTCCTTTTATGGGGTATTATGCTATATCGGATGTATGGTTGAATATCTTTCTTTTTCAATTGGGGGCGCTTTCGCAAACAATGCACAAGTGAATTTGAAAACGCAGTTATCTGTGTACTTGAATCACGCTTCAATGAAGCAGTAGTTGGTCAGGCTGTTCAGCGTCTCCTGTCATTGATTGCCGTTGAATCCACGATTTGTATAACATCTAATTCATAGTTCACTTTAAAACATCTTATTCGAGAATTAGAAACGGAGAAGACGCTTTCGTCTTGGCAACGCTGCGGAAACGCTACTCCCCGCACAGCTTTTCTTCTGTAGTGGGCAGTTTAGAAAACTGCGGCATTGAATTTTTACTTCGGCCTTGCGCTTTTAGATCCAACTTCAAAAAGATCGAATCACAAGGCATAAACAACTGAGCCGGTGGTTCTCGCTTCGCGTTTTATTCCTTTTTTTTATATATATATATCGGGAAGCGCTGCGATCTCACAGCCTGTTAAATAATCATAAACTGATCGAATAAAACCTGGTTTCGAGCTGGTAGTTGGAATTTTTGCGAAACGGAATACCGCGGATATACGTAGCCTTTGCTTTAGTGCGCGCCGGGTTTTCAGACGATGACGAAAACATCGCTCCAGACTTGATGTGATGTAGCGAATGTTTGACCGAAACTTTTCACTTGCACCTTGTTTCCCTCGTAAGTAAAATTTATATTAGCAAATATGAGTTTCTGTATTAACAGAACCTTCTTGGCTATTTAACAATACCAGTAACTCTCTCAAGATCATCGAAAAAACGAAAGCTTGGCCAAAGGTATTTCACACTCCCGATGTACGCGCGTCCCCGTCTGCCCCCCCTCCCCTCACTCACCGAAAAAACGAAAACAAAAAATCTAAACAACCGCGCGAATGAGAAAAAATACAGTGTTCATTTATTGCAAAATTAAAATAGGCATCGCTGAACGCTTATTCTACTCCAAAATCCCGTGCTAGAGGTTGGAACCAGATGCCAAAGTTTCAGTTTTATACGTTGTGTTATTGAAAAGTTGCGATATATTCAAATTGTTTAATGGAAAAACGGGGTATATTTTTCCCCATTTTTGGTAACAGGCACCATAGAGCTCTTTCTATTCGAGACCTTTGTCGGCTGCAATTTTTTATTTCAAAAATTCTGAAAATCGCCTATAACTTGTTAATAACATTATGCTTGGTTATGAAACTTTGGCATCTGGTTCGGTCCTCTAGCGATACATTTGGGCAGAAAATGACCGTTCGGTGATGCATATATTTATTCAATTACTAAAACTGTTTTGTTTTTGTTTTTTCAGGGGCGGGACACCATTCACACTTTAAAATTATATTATTCCTAAACTGTATGTGATTGTTTTTGTTTTACCTTAAGCTTTAAGGGTACTTTCGAATGAACCTTTATAGAATGCATGCGAGCAGAATATCGGCTGGATTCTGTGCAAAAAGTGTCTAGCTCGAGTACAATAGAAAAAAAGGCTGCAGAAAGGCCAGGGCAACATAAAGGATGCACAATCCATAGTAGGGAATGCCAAAGAAAACGAAGGCGCTCTTAATCAGAATTAATCGTACATATTCGTAACGAGGCGTGAATATTTTCTTGAGATTTTCCAAGCGACTCAGTGGGAATCGAACCTCGGTTTGTGCCATCCACAGCCCGACGCCTTTGCTTGGCGCCTCGAGGGGACGCGAAAGTGAATGGACAGCAGCATGACGAGGGAAACGGCAGGAACAGGCAACAACCAGCGCGGGCACCAAAGGATAACGCAGTCGGAGTATGACGTCACAACTCCGCATAGAAGCCAGTATTAAATTAGCGGGTGCGATAAACGTCCACGCACGATTACCTCAATTCAAGAGCACTAAGGCTTCAATACGCTACACGCAATCTCGTGAGACGCAGAGCCCAGATACTCTACTGGGGAAATGCATCTTACATCGCTCTTTTGCATTCAATAGTGCGCTTTCAGCACCGAATCATGTTGGAAACCTTCACTGACAGAACGCACGCGCATCCCGCTGTCCCTCCCGCTTTCGCACTGCACGGAGGGAGAGGGCTGTCACCGACAATCCGGGATACCTGATTTGCCAAGGCAGAGGAGACGGCTGTCTCCGGGAGACAGCCGTCTCTCCTGCACGAACCCCGCGGGAATGCTGGGTTGCGCTTCTCCCGGTGCTCGTGAAGTAAGCCAGAGAGAGTGCGTACCTGTCAAAGATATATCTACGAGCATGCTGGTTCATCATTTCCTATTGTTGCTTTCCCTTGATCAAGTAGGATTTTACTCTCTTTCATACTTAGTGTACAACGCTGCCGTCCAAGTTGCTAGCTTGTGAATGGGGTTTAATCTCGTAGATCATTGGCACGCGCTCTCTCGCAAACAAAACAATAGATGAAGCCACGCGCTCACGCCAGTAACTTTGACAGCGTTGTATACTAAAATAAATTCATTGAATCCTTGGAAAGTTGCGCAGAGCTCCCCGTATTGTTGTCATTTTGATTCTATGTCACCTCTCAATTCTTTGTTAGCCGATCTCAGTAGACCTATTGCTAAATTATCCAAGCATCAAGGATAATGCTGGGAATGTAGTTACGCGCGCCACACGCACTCGCATTCAAATATAAAACGTTCGAAGCAAAGCACCGAAATAAAGTGTTGATAAACCCGTGTGCCAGACGCAATTTGTTTTAAGCATTTGCTTTAGAAAAGTTACTACTGCTAAAGTCAGCACGTGCAGCGCGTGTACCTACACTCGCAGCATGCTCCTTAGTGCTTGGGCAATTTAGCAAAAGGTCTATTCTAGGTGACAGCTTGCTTTATCGAGGTATCCCTCGTGTACCAAGATGCGGCGCCGCCATAACGTGCAACGCCGCATCTCGTGGCGGTGCGAAGATATGCGACAAGCGCGTACCTTCCCACCACCACGAGATTTGGTGTAGGTGCTTGTCGGCATTGAAAACTAATTTCCTTGTCTCAGAATTTCCAAGAGGAACAAAACCTTTGTAAGAGATTTGTAGAGATATGCATGATTGATAATTTGATTGTAAGCACAGTCTCTTATAGTGACGAGGAACTCTTGCAGTACGATGATGATCCATAGCGATCGCCACTGGATTTAAACAACCCTTTAGAAGCTTCGAAGATTTGAAGGGACCAAGATGGCGATTGTCATAGCAACTGAAACAGATCAGCCAATCACATTGCGAGGTTGGTTCATCTGAAAGTTAGTATTTTTTTTTCCAGCTAGGAGGTAAAGAAGGCAAGGGTGCTGCTTTGCCAGGGTCCATTGACTTTGGGGGAAACCTGCCTCCCAAGACGGTCAAAAGTATTCTAGAGTACGTGCCTGAATGCGCCCAGTTCCTTGCTGCTATTTATGACGGTAGACCACATGACGGACGGTAGGCCTTCCTGGCTGTCGCCGCGGTAGGCCCACAGGCCACCCAGACTGGACGACAGCTCGTAGATGACTGGCTCGAAGCCCTCGTCAAGCATCTGACGTGCAGCGAGGATGCCGCTCGATCCACCTCCCACAATGCAGACCCGCAGTGGGCCTTTGTCATTGCTGATGCGCTGCATGATACTAAAAGAAATCTCAATTAATTTTAGGCTCTCTTTTTGTTCTAATCTTTAATAATTGTATCACACATGCAATTCCATCGTGTATCAGGTTGTATGTTGACGACTGCGTTTTCTACAAGAAAATGTCCGGTGACGACGACGCTCAAGACCTACAGAGTGGTGTGATAAATGGAAGATGTATTTTAATGTATCCAAATATGTCGATGTTCGGCTCACTAGAAAACGTAAAACGGTCCTGCTGTTTTCAAACTAAACAATCACCCCTTAAAACTTGGTACTAAGGCAACCTATCTCAGGGTTCTCCTAGGACCTAGCCGATGATTTCAGATGAAATCATCACGTGAAGTCATTGTGACCTAAGGCTAGCGCCATGCCGCACATTATGCGTCGCAACTTCAGAAACGTTTTGGCTCACTTGAAAGAAACCTTCTATATTTATTACGTCCTCCCGATTTTGGACCATGCCTGTATTATTTGGGACCCGCACATGCAAATAAATATAAACAAAATCGAAGGAATTCAAAATGAGGCTGCGAGATAGGTGCTAAATAACTAATTTTCACGATAGTGTATCTCAAATCTCAAACTCGGATGGATACCTTCACAAATACGACGAAAGTTTCTCCGTCCGAAGTTTATGCATAATCTATATTACTTTAGCATCGGGATAGATAAATCAAGATACATAGTGGCACCTCATTATGTCTTGCTTCACACTGGCAATAAGAAGAAAGATCTGAGAATGTTTCACACGTACTGGGGTTTTTGAAATATTTATTTCACCTCCCCCCCCCCCCCCCCCCGACCCCCCAAAATTTAGCGACCGGAAAGTGGTGCCCGACTTACTGGAAGAGGATCATAACTTTCAATGCTTTTTTGATGAAATCAGATTATTGTAGTTTATTTTTACTGTTTACTTTGCTCGGCCTGTGCTTGCTGTTCATCGTGTTCTCATATTATTGAAGTATATATTAGCATGCTCCGCTATACGTTAGCTTTTGTATAATTATTTCCGTCCCCCGAATGTGATGCCCACCGGGTGATGTAGGCACCAAATAAATAAATAAATAAATAAATAATAGATAATTCTTAATTCTATGCTCGATCAGCTGCTAATTTTGCTAGAAGTATGGTGCTAATGACAGCGTTAAAAAGGGGAAAATAAACACGGAAATTGTAAGTCCTCTTCCTTTTGCTGGAATGTGATCGATACATCATTCATATGTTTGCAGAGTCACAGCTCAGCGCGCGAAAGTTCGTCGGATTCGAAAGCGAGAGCTTCTACGAGGGACTCCGAAAGGGGCACGAAACATAGTTACGTACATGTCGCCTTGAAGAATGCTTGTTCTGCACGAGCGCCATGCTTGAGAAATGGAAACTGGCCACCGCTATTCCTCTGCTCGTGCAGAGAAGTCCGTGAAATTTTAAGTTTTCCGAAGCTGTGTTCATGCACAACGTGCACATGCTTGCACTCACAGGGCACCAGTTGGGGCACCATGCTTGAATTCGTCTTGAGAGAGTATTAACGAAAAATTGGGGTGTGTGTATGTTTATGCAGTCTCGAACGTAGTCTGCCTCAACGAGCGACTTGTCTCCCAGCTGTAGATGCGAAATCTAGCCAGTGCAGTACACCCGCTAGCCTGCGGTCTTTAACGTGCACCACGCAGTAGTGATTCACGACCGCACGCCGGTACGATGCTCATCAAGATCAAAGCGGGCAGGGCTGGGGATTGAACCCAGGATCCCTGGGCTTAAGGGCGGTTCAAACAGACTCGGAACACGGAACCCGGGAGCCGGAACCCGTACTGACGTAATCACTTCCGGCTCCCGTTTACGGGCGCTGACGTCACGGTTTGGTTTGAACGGCGCGCGACACGGGTCTCCGCATACGGTAGCTGACGTCACGGCGGCTCCCCAGGCAACTAATCAGCGGCTGTCGTCAAGCCGGGTCGTCGCCCGGGCAGCCCGGGCAGCCCGGGTATGGTGCCTGTAGCCGGGCGCGCGACGCGCTCCGTCTAGAGCGGCACCGGCGGCACCGCGGCACTCGCTTTGTTTCGTGATGGCGTCGTCTCGGCAGGATCCCGGCTACGAAGCTCGAATTGCCTCACTTATGAACCTTTGTGTAGTGAGGTGCGTCACAAATGCAAGAACTATCACCTGGCGTCGGCTGACTATTTTCGCGGCTGCGTGTGAGCAGTACCTACGGAGCGTGAAGAAAAAGAAGAAGCGAAAGGCCGTCCGCGAGCTCCTGAAGCCTCGAAAAATGCTCGACGAGTATGCCACCATCGTGAGACTACAGTCCTACAGTGTTGTGAGCCAGATGTTCGAAGACCCCGACGGCCGGGAATTCTTTGAGTGCTTCCGAATGTCACGAGCAAAATAGGGTGTGCTGCTTTTTATTTTGCATATCAAGTGGCGTTCTACATGGGCTCGCGCGTCGCTCGCAGGAATACTCACCTGGAGTAGCGCTCCCGCAGTGAAAGCACGTTTATATCATTTTTAACGCGGCAGGATCACGAGAGCAGCTTTCGTAACAGTCACATGCTTGTCAAATTTTACTGCGTCTGTGCTATAAAAACATAGCAATGGCATGCACATGTGCAGCTCGTACGACACGCTCTCTTGGTCCACAAAATCTGGTCACGGTGTTGTGCTCCTTTGAGTGCATGTATGAGGGAAGCCCGTTGTGCTTCCTTGTCCTTTGTGCTAGCTAGGATGTGTGCTTACAAGCATTCTGCACGAAAGCTCGCGCTGCAGAACCCAGGGATCTTGGGTTCAATCTCCACCCCTGCCCGTTTCGATCTGGATGAGCATCGTACCAGCAGACCTTCGTGTTTCACTACTGCGTGACGGGTGTTAAAGACCCTAGGCTAGCGGTCGTACAGTACTGCCTAAAAACTGGTCTACAGCGCGTACCAGTGTCGTTGACCTTTTTAACATTTTAAGTGTCAGATGTAGCTCGCACGCACAATGGTTGCAGCTAGGCACGTAGCCAGGATTTTGTTTCGGGGGGGAGGAGATTTTGTCGGTCGCAGAGTGCCCGAGGCTGGTAAAACATTGTGTATAAAAAAAAAATGAACAAATGAGTTGCTTCATTGCAATTGTAGTGACCAAGCATGCCCTCCAAGCTGGAAGCTTAGCACATTTGCTTATTAATAACATCCCACTGCCTTTCCGGTCTCTTTGCAGCCAGCAAGCCAACCACTGCCTGCCTCTACAAACGGCCTTTCTAAACGCTACTGATATTTGCATTGAAGATGCCGTTTCATCGGGTTGCAACCACCTCCCCTGTCTCCGAAACCGTGTCAATAAATTATTAAAAGCAGTATCGAGTTCTTTCACTTGTCCCGGTCCTTGTGGTCGCTACGATACCTGTCGTAGATTTAAGGGTACCGCTGAACTAGCTAACTAGTCCATAGGCTTTCTCGGGTACGTCAAACGCAGCGGCACTCTTCTTTGCAGCCTGAGCTGCTTTCCTCACGTCGGAGACGGGCGGGAAGTTCATCGCCGGCGCTTGTCTTGCAAGCAAGCACAGAGCGACTGAGGCATTCGCACGCGGAACAACGTGAACGCCGGTGGCAAAAAGGGCGGAGGAGGGAAGCGCGCCGCGCTGATTGACCGCGGAGAAAATACGGAAACCTACGTCACGACCCGGGCAGGAGAAAGTTGAAAAAATTTCAACTCTTCAATCCGGGTGCCGGAAGCCGTATTTACGTCACCGCCCGTACGGAGGGAGCGCTGACGTCACTACGGGTTCCGGCGCCCGGGTTTGCAGTCCGGGTCTGTTTGAACCGGGCTTTACAGCCACCCACGGTGGAGCCGCCCAAGCTTTCGCTCCACGTTATCCGAGCTGCTGTGCGCTAGAATCCCCTGACGTGCCCGGTCATAACTGTGTGCGCAATTTTTTAGCGCGTGCGGACGGCAAGCTACAACAGTTTTTTTTTCTTAATGTGCATTTAACACCATCAAGAGTGCAAGTTTTGACAGGCTAGTAATGTGAACTCGTTCTGAGCATGCGCTTTAAACAGCGCAATCAAATATGGCATCCACTGAATGCACCCTATATTGTGTTTATCCTTAAGCTGAGATTGCAACGAAAGCTATGAACGCGTCCTAGACGGCACTCCTGGTTTTGAGACGTGCATTTCTACAGGGTGTCACAAAAGAAAATTTACACGGTCTTTTTTACCGCAAGAATAAACTAAGCATCGCCAAACGCTCATTCTCCGCCCAAAGGTAGAGTTAGAGGTCACAACCAGATGCCAAAGTTTCAGCCCGATCCGATAACTTAATCAAAAGTTATAAGTGATTTTCTGAAAATTTTAATGGGAAAATGGAGCCCATTTCTGCCCGTTTTCGGTTTCTGGTGCCATAGAGCCCCATGTGTTTGAAAACACCGTCGGCCGCCATTTTCCCATTGAAAGTTTCAGAAAATCACTTGTAACTTTTGATTAACTTATCGGATCGGGCTGAAACTTTGGCATCTGGTTGTGACCTCTAGCGCTACCTTTGGGCGCAGAATGAGCGTTCGGCGATGCCTAGTTTATTTTTGCGGTAAAAAAGACCGTGTAAATTTTCTTTTGTGACACCCTGTATATGGAGTATTCACTGGGCGCCATATTTGAAGGTGATGTATAGAGCGCATGAGTGAGTGAGAAAACGTATTTATTAAAGGAATGGGATACATCCCGATTTCTTGAGAAAGTCATCCAATCGTGACGGGGGAAGGGGATTATGGGAAGGGTAGGGGGAGGAGGCTAAATGTAACAGGCGATCCCCGATGAGCGGACGAAACTAATCAGGGAATCGAGAATGTGTTTGCGGTGCGGGTGCTCGAGCCTGGGGCGGGTCCAGTCCACGTACGTAGCTGGTCTTGCCTCTTCAGGGAGTGAGTTTATGGCGTCGTTCCGATGCTCTGCGACCCCCTCGCACGTCCAGACGAGATGGGTGCACGTGGCTGGAATCCCGCAGTTCACGCAGAGTGGATCAGGGCCGAC